GAAATTTCCGGAAAATTTGGGACTTTTGGCATAATTATACGATGTATTGGATCAATTCCGGCTACAATTGTCGGGTTTCCGACAGGGGCGCCCACTTTTTCGGCAGGTGTCCCGTTTTATGTAATAATATTTGGAATATTTTGAAACATATTAAAATATATTGAAATATTTTAAAATATATTGGAATATATTGAAATATATTGATATATATATATATTGGAATATTTTGGATTATATTAGAATATATTGGTATATATTGGAATATTTTGGAGGAATATTTTGGAATATATAAAATAATTTAAATTATATTGAAATATATTCGCGATATTGGGTGGCGGCAAAGTGGCCGTAATGAAATGGAATGAACTATTGCGGAACATTTATTGGAGCCGACGAATTTTTCTAGGACCCATCCGATTATATTATTGAATCGGATAGATATAATATAAATTAATGGGACGTACTGGAACTTAAGGAAAAAAAAATTTTATATCTATATATTGATATTGGTAATAAAATATTAAATTCTTTCTAATTATTTTTTTCCTTTTATTTTAACAAAATATAAAGAATTTAAATTATTTATAATTCAGAAAAATAATATGAAAAGGATTTGGAAGGATAATAATATATATTTTAATATTAAATTTATAATATTAAAATATAATTATTTAATATAATGGGATTTTGAAAATAAAAATTAGAAAATAATTTAATATGAGGTATGGGGAGGGATTTGGATTATATATATTTTTTTTTCAAAAATAATGGAAAGGATTTAATATAATTTAGAAAATAAATAATAATATAAAAAAAAATTGTCGCCGATATAATCTAATTTTGCGTGGCAGACCTGGGACTTGTCGATATCCAGCTTTGTTCCGCGTGACAGGTGGGACATTTGGCGACATCCACCTTCGCATCGCGTGGTATGCGCGGTGCTTGATAACATCTACCTTCATTTTTCCTTTATTTCACATAACAGGTATGGTACTCGGATACATTCACCTTGATTTTACATGATAGGTGCGGTGTTTATGGCATTGGGCTTCATTTTGCGTAGCAGGTGTGGTACTTCTGGCACTGGGCTGGCTCTGGTGGCGCGCTTGGGCGCCACCCATCTTTACGTGGCAGGTATGGCATTTGATGATATCCACCTTCATTTCGCGTGGTAGGGAATAGGCATGATATTTGGTGATATCCACCTTTATTTTTCTTGATGAGATTTATTATTTTTCGGTATGCCAATTTTCATATATCATTTTATTATCCATTTTCTTTCCCGCAGAATTTTCCCCATACCATCCTTCAAATATAATTATATCATACATACCATCTTTCTTTATCAGACACCATTTTTCACATACAATTTTATCCATCACAATTTTATTTTATATCTCGATCCTCCACCACCTTCTTTGTCTTTCCTTCGTCCCCATTACAATATTTGATATTTATTATTGAAGAATTTTTTTAAAGGAATTATTCGATCCTTTTAATTTATATATAATATATATTTTAGATTATATATATAGATTAAATTATATAATTTATATTATTTCTTTATAATTATTTCTTACGGATCCGATATATATTTTAAAATATTCAAATTCTTTTATAAACCTAATTTTGATTAATTTTCCGAATTCTAAATTCCTAAAAATCTAAATTTAAAATTAAAATTCTAAATCCTAATATTTAAAAATGAATTTATTATATATATTCAATATATTTATTCAATCCTTATTAATATTTTTTTTTGTTATT